TTACTCAGGCTCGGATGGCTGTGCTCCTTGCCGCAGCCGGACAGCCGAGGACCATTGAGAAGGACACAGCTTCTCGCGCTGCGATTTGCCTTGCGCGAAGGCGTGTCTCTGTGCTAAAATTCTCTTGGACAAAGTGTCCAAGACCCTTGGGAGTGGAATGTCCAACTCTTAAAAATACGGGGGTCAAAAATGTCATTTTAAGCAGCACTCTGCTGGAATGGGGGGACACAGATGACATTTAGTGTCCTGCACAGAAGCAGAGTTTGGGACCCGAGGTGGCAGCCTTGCTGGGCGTGTGTCACGTGAGCCAGAGAGGCCCCCCCCCCTGCTGTTAGGGAGTCTCACTCTGTCCCCGGCCTGTGCTTTGGGGAAGCACCTGGCAGCTGTCCCCCCCATCGAGGACAGGAGAGGCCGCTTGCTTGTGTCCTCTCCTGCACCGCGGCCGCTGTGGGAAAACCCGCTTAGGACCCGAGGAACGCCTTACTCGAGGGGGAGGCGGGGGTCTGTCTGCACACGCACACCAGGGAGACTGTTCCCCGGGAGCTCCCGCTTCCAGAACGGAGGGAAGCCCTTGAGGCCCCCCGGTCTGTGTGTACCGAGATGGGAGTCACCCGAGACCAGAGCTTAGCCCTTGGGTGACATTGGCGGCTCTGGATTTGGATGCCTTGTTTCCCGTTCCAGAACATTCTGGAGCCTGCCCTTAGGGCTCAGCATAATTGCCATGCAGCTGTGTTCTCAGCTGGCTCCTAGGCCGACAGGGTGCAGATAAACCACTCTCTGCTCCTGTCACAGTCTCACGAGGGCCACGGCCACTCTGCCAAGTACACCGGAGGTCTGCTTGTCCCACCGCACCTGCCACGGCCGCTCTGGTGTCCTCTCGAACCTCTCCCCAGGGGGCGGGTCAGGAAGGCAGGAGGAGCCGGGCTCAGCTCCTCATGGTGGCCTCTGGGGGCACCGCAGGGTCAGGAAGGCAATGTCAGCTGAAGACTGGAAAGCAGGAGAAACTCAGCTCAAGGAGGGAGTTGATTGGCTCAGGGAGTGAACGGCTTCAGTGAGATTGTGTGTGGTCAGCTCTTGGCATGCGGTACACACCCCCAGCCGAGCAACGTGAAACACACTGGGTGTCACTTTTCCCGGTTCCGTGGGCTGACCGGGCTCAAGGCGCTGCTGCCAGACCGTGGCCAGTCCGGGCATCACCCAGGGCTCACCTAAGACAGTTCCTTCCTTCTGGCTCTGATGCCCCTGTCCCCGCGTGTGCCCGCGTGTGCCCGCGTGTCCCCGCGTGTCTCCTCGTGTGCCCGCGTGTGCCCGTGTGTCCCTGTGTGTCTCCTCGTGTGCCCGCGTGTCCCCTCATGTGCCCGCGAGTCCCCGCGTGTGCCTGCGGTCTCTCCCCAGCTGCACGGCCCGGACCCTCGCGGCTCATGCCTCTGAGAGGCACAGAGCAGAAGCTGCTGGACACTTGGGGACTGCAGCTGGGCCTTGGCCAGTGTCCCCTCGGTTGTCCCCTGCGGGTCAGAGGGCAGGTGGGGAAATTGGCCCTGGGTGCTGGGGGACAGTGTCGGGGTCACGGGGCACGAACAGACGGGATGGCCCATACTGCGGGTATCGCTGAAAATCAGGTTGGTCTCAGGCCGGGGCCAGGGGCTCAGGTCCTCTCTTCAGAAACAGGCTTCTCTGTGCACCGACTCTTCTCAAGGAGGCACAGCAGCGTGACACAGGGCCAGCCCAGAGCTGCCGGGCGTGGCCCGGAGGGGGCCTGGGGGGTGCAGTCAGTCCCCCCCAGGCTGGCTCTCCCAAGGGACACAGCTGCGCTGTGGCCAGGGAAGGGCTGCTCCTCTGCCTGGAAAGACCCCTTGCCCCGCTCCCCTCCCCCAGCCAGCTGCCATCCCGCCCCCCACAGAGACGCAGAGGGGACAGCATGCGCACCTGGACTCCCCCCTTGGACCAGGACTTTGCTGTGCACTGTCTTCTTCTTGGAATTCCCGCGCATCCGTTTGGTCTCACCTAGCGGGTGAGTGGGGGGGGGGCTGTCGGGAGCGCGCGCGGTCTCCGAGGGAGGGAGGTGACTATAGGTGCAGACCCCGAGCTGCGCCGCCCGGTTCAAGTCACTCGCTGTGCGGCCGCACACGAGCTACTCAGCCCGTCTGTGCTTCGATTGTCTTACCTATAAATCGGGGACACCAGTGACCGCAGTGACCCCTACCTCACAGGGCCGTAGGGAGGGCTCACAGTTAATACGTGTGCAAGTCTTAGCAGAGTTCTCTTTGCTCCCAGATAAATGCTGATGATCCTGCTTTTCTTTACAACGTAGTAAGGAAATTGGTTTCTTGACCATTAAATGCGTTACATGTATCTTCCCCCTAGAATGCCATTTGTCTTTTGTCTTTGTTCTGGCAAATTATTTGCCTTGCAGGATTTTATATTTCTGCGCTCGGATGTGTCCGTCTTTTCTTGTGGGATCAGGATGGCATTTGCTTTTCTTTTTTTTCTGTGTGTTGTCGAGAAAGCCCTTTTTCTCATTGTATCTTTTTGGGTAGATGAGGATGTAATTCTCGTACGAAGAAAGAAGTGTGGAATCAAGTTGTCAATTATTGTACTTCTTTTCCACTCAGATTGTTTCTTCTTCGTGTTAATGGCCCAGGACTGGGAAACAGAGATCCTCAGGGCGCTGGGATTAGTGGCTCCTGGAAACTGATATTTAAATATAAAGCTATCGCCCAGATAGAAGCAATTATCATGCAGGTTAAATTAACCGAATGAGACGCTTGCTCATGGGCACTGCCGCCCGCCTTCCATCGGCCCTTACATAACACCAAACCGACGTCTCCTTTTTCTTTTTTTTCTGGGGCAGAAAGGCATTTGGCTGAGGCGGGATCGAATAAGAGGGATTTCTAAATGCGGCAAAGAGTTTGGAAAAAATTAACTTCCGTGAATCCTCTGGGATCTTGTTTCGTAACAAGAATTTCACAATGTATGTGCAAGTGAGCTCGTGAAGGGGGTTGTGTCTGCGAGCGGGGAGGCCGGGTCTGTGCTGGACTCTGTTGTGGCCGCAGCGCCTGGCGGGCGGAAGCAACGGCCGGGCCCCCAATGCGGTGGGTCCCCAGGGGGTCCTGGGGCCGCACCCGCTGCCGAGCTGCCTTCCATCCGGAGCCCCGTCCTCACGGCCTACAAGGTGCGGCGTGCCCTCCTCAACAACCTTGAGAGCACAGCCCCGGGGACCTGCGTTCTACTCCAACTCCTCAGAGGTCAGGAAAGGTCCAGGCCCCGGCCATCATTTTAACGTTCCTCTTAGATTTAAAAAATTGGAGAAGTTCCAAACCAGGGTTATAAAATGATGCCATGTTTTAACATGCTTACGTTAATCATATTAGGGCCTTGAGTCCATACAAGTACGATTGTCACAAGAGAGTTGACCAACTCGTAACAAATGTGTCAATTCACAAGGCGTTGCAGTAAAGACGGTTGGTGATGGCACACACGTTTATGTTTGATGACAAACGTCTTTAATTCAGTGGCTCTCAGGCTGTGCCCATAATCTCACTTGAAGATAAGGGCCAAAGTCTAAATTAGGTGCCATTTGTATAAAAAGGCCCAGGACAAATGGCCCTCCACCTCTGCCCTTCCACCCCGGAGTCCAGGGGCCTGTTTTGATCAACCCTGGGCACCATCCTGTCCCGCCCGGGCCAGACTGGGAGGGAGGAGGCCGCTGGGGTTACTTCCTGCTCTGCACACAGTCCACGCAGGTTGTCAGCTCAGCACGCACACGTGTGCTCCCGTTCTCTCCCTCTCCGTCTGTCTCTGTCTCCCGCTCTCTCACACAGGCGCACAGGTTACCCATATGCAAGGAACTCCTCACCCCAACAGCTAGACTTGTTCTCAGGTGACACGCAGCCACCACTGACCCTGCTCGGTCATAGTAGCCTCTGAGCACAGACCGTGTAGCGCAGGCGGTATGATGTGGGGCCAGCTCGGGACTGACAAAGACTCTACCTGCGATCTGGGTGTTTTGAAGGAAAGTTTAGCGGCCACGCCCTCCTTGGGCCCCACTCCGTTTCTTTGTTGGAAATAACAATCGTCGATGTGAAAGCCCTTAAAAGTGGGCTTCCCCTTTGATGAGAAAGTCCGCACTAGGGATTTATCCCAAAGGCATATAATCTTAGCTGTACAAGGGTTAGCTGCCAGTTCTGTCTGGAAAATAAAAACTTGAAGGAGACCGTGCAATACAGATTTAGAGGTAACACCGTGCAGACAGAGAGCAGGATGACCTGAGGCTGCATGGACTCTGGAGGAAGTCCATGGGGATGCAGTAAGTTTTTTAAAGATGTGGGTTATAAGCCAGTACATGTGAGCTGGTTCCTTTCTTTGTAAAAGTAGAGAAGGTGTTAAAAGGATTTACTGTGAAGATGCTTCTGGACAAAGAAGAGGGATAAGAACAGATTGTGTAGTTTTTATATTTGGGGGCTTTGGGGTTACAAGGCTGGAGCTTGGCTCTAACCTTAATGCTGGCTGGTGACCTGGGGCAAGCTGGCCTCAGTGTCTTCATTTCATGATGGGGTGATAACAGGGTTTTCATAATATTTAAGGAGAGAATTCTCGGAAGACTCTTGGAAAAGTGTCTGGTACTTAGAGAGCTTTTGCTAAATATAGCCTATTATTATCCTATTTCTGAATTTCTATTTTTTAAAAAATTTTTAATTAAAAAAAAATTATTTCTGAGAGAGAGAGAGACAGCGTGAGCAAGAGAGGGTCAGAGAGAGAGGGAGGCACAGAATCTGAAGACAGGCTCCAGGCTCTGAGCCATCAGCACAGAGCCAGACGCAGGGCTCGAACCCATGAACCATGAGATCATGATGGACGTTCAACCGACTGAGCCACCCAGGCACCCCCCTGACTTTCTAGAATGAGGGGGAAAAAAAGGCTTTTCAAACGAAAAGTAAGAAGCTGCTTCTGAGACAGTCCTTCTGCTGTCAGTCCTGACCCGGGGTCTCTCCTTCCCTCAGGGGTCACATTTTCGTTCTTCTGGAAGACGCAGGGAGAGCAGTCCAGGCCGATCCCTTCTGCTTACGGGGGACAGGTCGTTTCTGAAGGGTTCAAGGTCTGCTCCAGCGGCGGCAAGGGCTCCGTGGAGCTATACACGCGGGAGAACGCCAAGACGTGGGAGGCCACCTTCAGCCCGCCAGGTAAGGGCACCTTGGCCTCCGCTTGGCGTGAGAAGACGCTGGGGCACCCGGGCCCTGCCTCAGTCGTCTGCTGCCCCGGCCTCAGCCTCTGCATCCCCGGGGGGAAAGTGCTGACCTGACCTGCCCCGAGGTCAAGGAGGTCAAGGTCCGGGGGAGATGAAACGCGATACTGCCGGTGGGTAGTGTGATTCCTGCTCCCGTTTCTCCTTCTTCCCCCTCCCCTGCCCCCTCATCACCCCCTCCTCTTCCTCCCGCCTCTTCTCTTGTCCCCCTCCCCCTCCCCTCCTCCCCCTCCCCCTCCCCCTCCCCTCCTTCTTTCTAGGGGTATAGACTTGGCAGTGTTTATTTAGAATGTGATGTGAAGATTTTTTGGACAAGTGGCTGAAGACCGGGGAGGAGGGGCATCTTCAGGGAGGGCAGGAGCTGGGGCCATGGTGGGGGGTGCTCTGGGGCAAACGGAGAGCAGCCCGGAGGGCCCTGCAGACGTGGGGGAGTTCGCAGGTGGGTGCTGCGGGCCGGCGCGGCTCTGTCCGGAGATCCCTGCTTTCTCTGTGCTCTGTGGGGTGAGGTGGGGTCATGCGCTGGGCACAAGTCAGGGGTGCGGGGTGGGAAGCTCGGGGAGCAGAGGGTCTGAAGTGGACCCTGGACAAGGCAGAGGTGACCAGGGCCCCGGAAGTGTTGGGGTGACGTTGAGGGGAGCCCAGTCCAGGCTGGGGACTAAGAGGGAACCACGGCGGGGGAGGGGGGCTGGCAGAGCGAAGGCCTCCAGTAGGAGGTACCTTGGAGAAACTTAAAAGGAAAATTCATTTTCTGGCCCATTTAAAGGAGGCTGTGTGTCTCGGTTGTAAAAGACCTGGAGCCAGACGGGCGGGTCAAAGCCCTCCCTGTGCCGGGCTACCTGTGAGAGTCGGGGAGCCCTGCCCACCCACTCACAGCACGCCTGAACCCCGCTTCCATAAGAGGTCTGGGAGAATCTCACCTACTTGTGTTCTCTGACCCCAGGCCAGGATTCTCCGCCTCCCCTGCCCCCAGATGGAAATACCGTACCTTGTTCACGGCTCTTATCACCTTCTGCCCAAGGTCAGGTTCTTATGTAAGAGTCTTATCCCCATGATGCTTGGGGCTGACACTGTACGGGGCACCTAGTAGGTTTCCACAACATATTTTAAGGTAAAGTCTACTGAACTCTGTTTTTCCACCCAGGGAAATGGGGAGAGTTGTAAACATTTCTGCCTGGCAATACACTATTTATTTGTTCCTTGAAGAAAGCTGTTATTTTTGCTTTAAATTCAAGGACAATAATACTTTGGACCCATTTAGGCTCTTCCAGAGACTCAAGATTAATAAAGTTGCATAATCCTGAGCAAGAAAGTCCTAAGTAATTGCTGATTGATTGGTGTGTGTGTGTATATATACATACACATATGTGTGTGTATATATACATTTAAATATATATATTTTATTTTATGTTTTATCATGGTAAGTGTGTTCTTTAATCCCCATCACAGATTTCCCCCACCCCTCCACCCATCCCCCCTCTGGTGACCATCAGTTTGTTCTCTACAGTTAAAAGTCTATTTCTTGGACTGTTTCTCTTTTTCCCCTTTGCTTGTTTCTTAAATTCCACATATGTGTGAAATCACATGGTATTTGTCTTTCTCTGACTTACTTCACTTAGCAGAATACTCAATAGCTCCATCCATGTCATTGCAAATGGCAAGATTTCATTCTTTCTTATGGCTGAGTACATACACCACTTCTTTAACCATTCATCAGTCAATGGATGCTTGTGCCATTTCCATAATTTGGCTGTTGTAGATAGTATTTTTGTATTCTTTGGGAAAATACCAAGCAGTACAATTGCTGCATTGTAGGGTGGTTCAGTTTTTAACTTTCTGAAGAGCCTCCATACTCTTTTTCTGAGTGGCTGCACTAATTTGCATTCCCATCAACAGTGCACGAGGGTTCATTTTTCTCTACATCCTCACCAACACCGGTCACTTCTTATGTTTTTTAGTTTAGCCATTCTGACAGGAGTGAGGTGGTATCTCATTATGGTTTTGATCTGTGTTTCCCTGATGATGAATGATGTTGAGCATCTTCCCATGTGTCTATTGGCCATCTGGATATCTTCTTTGGGGAAGTGTCTGTTCGCATCCACTGCCCACGTTTAAAGTAGATTATCTGGTTTTTGGGTGTTGAGCTGTATCAGTTCATTATAGATTTTGGATACTAGCCCTTTATCAGAGATGTCATTTGCAAATATCTTCTCCCATTCAATGGGTTGTCTTTGAGTTTTGTTGATTGTTTCCTTCACTGTGCAGAAGCTTTTATTTTGATGAGGTCCCAATAGCTTATTGCTGGGTGATTTAAGATGATGCCTGGCTCAAGATGATACGTGTCCTTTAAAGGGATGTCTTATTTCTTCCAGAATTAAGCCCATGAGACAACCTAACACAATACTTGAAAAACAAAGTGGGACCCTTTGTGCGATAAGCTGCCACCAAAGTCTGATGAACATTCTTCTTATTGGTGACTGTGGTTTTCATGCCAGAGAGAATGAGCCCAGAGGGTGGCCCTGATATCAGGATGCCACTGTGTTTATTAGTGTTACATGTACCAGATCAGAACAGAGGTGGATACCAACTGCCCTGGGCTGAGTCACGCCCCCAGATAGGTTCTATTGTCCAACAGGCTTTATTGACCCGCACTATGAGGCCATGGGCAGGACTAAAAAAATTGTTTTTTGAACAAGTTACGACCATTAGGTATTATTTCATTTTATTTTAAAATAGCAAAGGACCTCATTTAAAATAGCAAAGGGTCTCTCTGGACTGCTTCTGGAATTTGGGGGATGGGGATAACTTTTTCCTTGTGTTTCAAAGGACTGAGAAAACTTAGATCTGTATTATGAAGGACTCGGCAAGGGTAACAGTGACTAATCATCGCAGAAAGGATGTGCTTAGCAACTGGGCAACTTGTGCTTCCCACATCAGCAGAACAGTGATCTTTGCTCTTTCCAGGTCCCTACTGGACTCATGTTCTGTTTACATGGAAATCCAAGGAGGGTCTGAAAGTCTACGTCAATGGGACCTTGAGCACTTCCGACCCAAGTGGCAAAGTGTCCCATGCCTACGGGGAGCCCAGCGTCAACCTCGTGATTGGGTCCGAGCAGGACCAGACCAAGCGTTATGAGGTCGGAGCTTTCGATGAGTTCATCATCTGGGAACGGGCCCTGACCCCGGACGAGATTGCGATGTACTTCACAGCTGCTATTGGTCAGTGGGCACGGGGGTGGGCTCGGGCCAGCTCTGCCCATCTCTGGGAGGACAGGGCTCCTTCTATCTGCCTCCCTTACTAGCATTTCTCGCTCCACGCTCTCCTGAGGTGGCTGTCTGCACTGCAGGCTATGAGGCATCCTAATGAACCTCATAAATACAGCCATTTCCCTAGAACACCTATTCCCTAGGATGAAGGAATTGGCACCTTAATGGAGATACACTGAGATGAATATTCTGTGGGTCATCAAGGGGTTTCCAGGTGTATGTGGTGGATATTACAGATACCTTTGGGAACAGATATTGTGGCTCCATTAGTGCATCTGATCAACAAATGTTTACCAGGTGCTACCTGCATGCCAGACTTATGGGTCCTCAGGGACAGGTGGCCTGGGTTCAATCTTCACTCAACCCCAACGAGCTGTGGGACGTGGGAAGTCACATTTTTTTTGCTGAGGTAGAATTCATGTAACATAAACTTAACCATTTTAAGGCATATGATCTAGTGGTACTTCCTATGTTCACTGCATTATGCAGCCATCCCCTCTGGTTTCAAGTGTCATCACCCCAAAAGGAAATCCAGGAGCCACAAGCTTGTGCTCCCCTGTTCCCCTTCCAGAACCTCAGCCCCCGCTGGTCCACTCAGTCTCTACAAATTTCCCTCTTCTGGGTCTTCCAACTACATGCAATCATGTAACATGGGACATTTTGTATCTCACTCTTCCCAAATTACCGTGTTCTCCTTTGTAAATGGATGGAAACAGTGCTGCTCACGTCCCAGAGGTGGGGGGCTGTGGAGACACAGCGTGACAGGTGCCAGGCACCAGCACCGTGCCTGCACGTGGCAGGGTTTCACAACATTTTTGCTGATTTAAGATTAATATTTACTCCCTCCATTCTGTTTTCATTGTGTTAACAAGTAAATGCCCCGGTTCTTTAACATGAACTAATCTGCCAGAAAATGACAGTCACTCATAAACATTTGTTGGTTGGCCACTGCGTGGACACCAGAGCAGCAGGGACAGGTCAGGACTGCCCACTCCCTCAGGTTCTGACAGTGAGTCTCTCAGCTGTTAGGACCCTGTGATTATATGATAGGAAACACAACTGAAGTAACTTACGCCAAGGGCGGGGGGGGTGGGGGAGTGGGGAATCTCCCACAATGCAACCAACAGGAGAAGACTTGCTTCAGGACTGGTTTGCTCTAGGTGCTCCCATGTGTCACCCGGAATCTGTGTTTGACTCTGCTTCCTTCTGGTGGTGCCATTATGGCTGCCATTCCCTCCGAGGTTCCTCCCCCATCCACGTAGAAGGCGAGGAGCTTCTCTCTTCTGTCACCTCTTTTAGCAGGACTGGCCAGGAGTCTCATCTGACCAGACTGATCCATGTGTTTCCCAGGAGCCCGGGACTGTGGCTGGGGGTGTGGAATGTGCTAACTGCCTTAGCCCTGGGACACAGTCCACCCCTGACATGGCAGTGGGGTCAGCTCCTCCAAAATGCAGAGAAGGGACTCCCTGAAGATGACTGTGGCTGCTGGTCTCGAGAGCAGGGCCTGGCCGCTGTGTATGCAGAAAGTCTGTGTCCCCTGCAGCCTTTGACACTCGCATTTTTTCACTGAGAAAGTGGAATTCATTCCTGTCACACAAGTGACAGGACAAAATATGTCCTTTGAAAGAAAGAAGGATATCAATCATCTGCATTTTATAGCTTAAGATTTGGAGATTTGTCACTTTGAGACCAAGATGTCACCTGTATTTGTGTTACGGAAAGCCTCACACAAATCCTGCTTTCTCGATACTTTACTGGAAAGAGGTGTTGCTGTTTCTGGTTCTTGTGGCTGTCCCAGCAAACCCTCGTCCCCAGGACAGCCCAGGGCTCAGGGATAGGGTGCATCAGCCCCACGCATGGCACAGCCTTTCAGGTCACCTCACCCTGTGCCCCGTGAAGGTTGTGGTTGATTTTGGGGGGGCATTCAGGAGACATGTTGCATTAACAGCTACGTATCCCAGGGAGTGCACCCATGCACCTTTGCTGAACCAGAACTAAACCCATCAGAGCCCCGTATCGCTTGGGTACTTCGTTCTGGAGACAGGTCACATGACATAAAGCACATATAGAGAAAATGACCCAAAGTCCCCTGGACTGCCCCGTGTGAGTTGGTCCACCAGAGCCAGGGCCACGCCAGCTGTGTGTGGACAGACATCTGGGCTGAGGTCCAGCCTGCTCTCACACCAGGCCCGGGGCCCTGCTGTGTCTGGTCTGTAGGAGGAGGCAGAACCTGGTCTTTGCATAAAGACCCTGTCTGCACACCAAGGGTGTACCCAAAGCAGGCATTTCCCTGGGTGACCTGCCCAGAGGGGGTGTCCCCTTCTAATCCATTAGCCAGAGCAGGCCAGATGGGGTGACCTTTTCTAACTCATACAGAGGCAGAGGGCGGATCATCGATCACCTGGTCAGCTTGGCACCCAGTGCCACAACGGATGGCCACCCTTTCCACACAGAATCAGAGGAAGTAGAGGCTGTGTTCAGAGTTGTATGGTTTCCGAGGATATATTCTGTATGCTGGAAACACACCCACATAATCCAATGCCTGCAAAACAAGTGCCCCTTGGGACCAGAGACTGATACAGGACACAGAAGAGTCTCATTTCTCCTCATGGCCTTGCAGGGTCATCGACGGTGACAGTGGGCAGGGTTGCCGGGCTGATCCTTACCGTCCTGCATTTTACTTTGTGGACTCACAAGAGTTACACGTGAATTGGATGGGGCTCCTCTGTAACTACTTGGCACTTGAGGAACGAATGTCACTCTGACTTGGAGAACCTAGTGTTCTCTAGTCCTCTGGGCAGTGTCTCTCCTTCAGCACCTTGTCCCCAGCTACTCAGCCCCACCTCAACCCAAGGGGCCAGTTACTACTGGAGCTAACCAGGGATGATGAGGTCATTTCCTTAGATCACTCCAAGCAACCTTGAGAGATTTTTCTGGAAATGAGGTAGAGTGTCTAGTTAGTCTGTGTTCTTACCAGGAAATGCTAAGACTCGAAATAGCTGGTGGAGAACAGGAAGAAAAGAGCAAACATGGCTTATCTTTGGTGTTGGATGTCTTCATTATTTGTAATTAACCAAATGGAAAGGAGTAACCAGAATCCTCAGGGTCGAGAGGGCTCAGGAGGATAGTCTGCCTCACCGCTTTGTTTATTTGTCTTGCGTCGTCCATCTGGGAGGGAGGGCCTGACTGGATGGATGGTCTGTCTTAGCCCAGAGATTAGCAGCACTCTGTATTTTATCTCCAACTAGTCCAGGTGCAATTGAAGGCTATTTTTTTGGTTCTGTATTTATTTGAAATCGGTAAAAGTTTACATAAAATCATCTTTGTATATGACGATGTGCATGAAGGGTGTTCAAAAGCAATTTGAAATATAAATAGAAAAGTAACGTGGCCTGGGAAAATCCATACAATCTACCCACTAAGCTAATTTATTAGCCCTTTATCTGTCCAACAGCATTCCTGCTCAACATTCTCAGGCTGTCGTAGGCGGGTCTGAAGCTGGAGTTTTGAATAAAGACAGGCCTTTCTTAGGTTGGAAGAGTGACCATGTTTCAGCCCTTAATTAAGTGTTATTGGTTTTTTTTTTTTTTTTTTTTTTTCCAGGAAAGCATGCTTTGTTATCTTCGACACCACCAAGCTTCTTCATGACGCCCCCAGCCAACACTGTGGTGAGCATACATATTGATCTCGGCCCCCTTCTTACTGAAGCCTTTCAGCTTAGACTGTATGCCAGGACTGAATTCCAGAAGACGGTCTGGCTCTCTCTTGCTGGCAGTGTAGTGTCTGGGAAGGAGTCATCCCTGAAGGAGAAGCTCACTTTGGCACTAACTCTGGATTCTCAGCTGACTGAAGGGAAAGTCCTCTGCTTCTTGTGGCCTGTGGCCAAAGGGGTCGAAAGGAAGTAAACCAGACACCCGGGGACACAAACACACAGACCGTCTTCTGGGCAGGCGGCACAGTGAGCGGCGAGCAGGGGGCTGTGCGCAGATGCATGCCTTCTCTTTGTGCCCCTTGTCCCGTTGTTTCCGGAGATCAGTCCACTCAGAAACACTCCGCTCTGGAAGTAGAATTTGTAATCATGTCACTTACCTTACTTGGGAGCTTTAAGGGGACAGTGAGGGCACAGACTCTTGCACCATCTGTGTGGGTACAAATTCCCGTTGTTCCACATGCATTTCTGGGTCAGCCTCTGTGCTTGGTTTCAGCTCTCAAATGGGTGGGTCTTTCCTGAGGTTATTAGTACATGTCATAGTCATAGAAGTGTCTGGTAATGGGGCAGGAGAAGTACCATCGTCACAGGGCTTTAAGAGGTACACGGCCTGGAGCACAAACTGAACTTCAGTAGGACTTCTTGGCTGGCATCCCCAGCCCGACCTCACACCTCTGATTCCTTTTAGCTGCCCACCAATGCCTACCGTCCTATCATAACCAACTTGACAGAGGAGAGAAAAAACTTCCAGAGTCCAAGAACTGGATTGAGTTACCTGCGAAATGTGTCCCTCAACTTACCCAGTAAGCCTCTCTCACAGGAAACTGCGCTGAACCTCACCAAGGTAAAGCTATCTCGTTTCTGTCCCTGGCAGATCAGAGCAGGCAAACTGCCAGATCCAGACACACGGGCGTGTTTTGTTTGACCTGCACAGACTTAGAGAAGAAAAGTCATGAGCTCCTACGTAAAAGTCTGGGTTACAGACTTCTCACGAACACCCAGATGGGGTGACCCCCTCCAGCCAGCTCTGCCCAGCTCGCTGGGGCCTCCCTCAGCTCACACTCAGCTCTTCACCTCCCCTTCCCACGTCTGCACCACCTGGCTGCTGACCATCTGGCTGTGCAACCCTGCTGCTCCCATGGCAGCACCGGAAGGGTGGGGCTGGGTCTCAGCAGATGCGGCCATGGGGCAACAGACTTCAGTCTGCACACCGGGTGTGATGTGCATGTCGGTGGGAATTCCCCAGTTATGTAAAGCACGCAGTGAAGCGCCATTTATGGGATGGAACCAAGGTGCTTTTCACTCTCCTCCAAATACTCTGCAGGTCAAGGTAGAGGCTGATCCCTGGCTCTTGCGGACTTAACTTCCATTTCAGCCCTGGGGCTCTTGGCCGAGTGGGTTTCCCCTGGTGACTGCAGTGTAAGGGCCCGGAGCAGGGTCCAAAGGGCTGACTGCAGGCTTGCATTTCCCTCCGCGGCTGCTTGCCCAGTGCCCTGGTCACGCTGGTCATCTGCGATATGGGGGCGACCGCAGGGTACTCGGCTTGGGGGCCCCACATGGGCTCCTGAGAGCGGAGAACAGGGTCTGTCACTGGTTGAGTGTTTCGTCAGAGTTCTTCGTCCTCCTTGGCCTGCGGGCTGAAGGCCGACCTGGAGAGGCTCGGGACACTTGGGCGTCCTCAAGTGGGGGCAGGGGCGAGGGCTGACTCCTCCGCTGCTCTGGGCCCCGGGGTCCTGGCGCCTGCCCCATGTCCCCGGGCCAGGCACCCACCCTCTGCCAGGCTCTACCAGGCCATCCCGCCTGCCGGGCCGCCCGGGGCTAGCGGCACGCAGGGCTTCCACACAGGGGTGCGGGAGTGCTCCGCCCTCGGCTCCAGTGCTCCGGTCTTCCCGCGCAGAGGGGTTCCGGGCGGCGGCGCAGTTCCCCACACACTCCACCTCGTTTCCCACAGGCTAGGGGAGCTCCATACCCCACGCCTCACACCACTTCGGTCAGTCCCTGACAGAGAGGGAAACGCTTTCCCAGTGTTCCCCCGGTCAGCTCTCCCCTCACAGCTCATTGGGCAGAACCCGGTCACATGACCACAACCTGGCCAATCACTGGCCAAGGAGAGCAGGCGGGGTGTGATGGCTCAGCCAATCTTAAGGAGACGGAGGCGGGACCAAAGTGCTGTGCTTGCGCACTTCGCGCTCCCCTGCAGCAGCCCTGGGGTGGAAGAAAGGGTTCCCAGGGGGCGTGGGCTGCGCGCGGTGTGGGGGGCATCCTCTGGGGCGTACTTCCGGTGGAATGTGGAATCCGATGCAGGCTTACACAGGTCATTTTGAGGCTTGGTGATTTTGTCTTTCCCTGCGACTCCCCCTCCGGGCCACCTGACAGGTGGGGATGGCAATTCGGCCCTGGACTGCTCGGGGAGGAGTGGAGGCAGCGGCTCATCCGCAGGGGTGGGAGCCGCCTCGGAGCCGCCTGAGTTTAGTCTGTAGGGCAGCTGCTGCTTTTGCGAGGGAAGCCACATACCTGGATCCTTAAAGTGGAAAATCATCCAATTTTTAAGAAGTGGATAGCTAACGGACATTTAAAAGCAGTCATTTGCGGATGTGTGAGGCAGAGTCAGCCTGTGGGCTCTCGATTTGGGACCTTTGGTGTGGGACCCAGTGGAGAGACCTGTCTGGGCATTCTGCAGACGAATCCTGCAGATTTGCCCCAAACCCCACCCATCCCTGACTGGGTAAGAAGTAAAAATCCTTGGCATCCATTATCCCTTTTTCCATGATGTCCTGGCTTCTCACGGCTAGCCCTGGGACAGGAAAATGAGAAGTCATTTCCTGTGCTGGGTGATAAGGGGGCCATTAGCCACATCTGGCTGTGGAGTACTTGAACTGTGGCTAATTCAAATTGAGATGTGCCCTAATTTTAAAATACGGCCTGGATTTCTAAAACTTAGAACAAAGAAACTAATGTAAAATATTGAATTCATAATTTTTATATTAAGTGCATGTGGAAATGCTATGTTAGGTATATAGATATGGGAGTAAGTAAAATATATTCTGAAAATTAATTTCAACTGTTGCCTTTTTACTTTTTAAAATATGGCTACTAAAAGATTTAAAAGTTGAAATGTGGCTTGTATTATATGTTTATTCCGCCAAACTGCTCTAGATAGAATAGGAGTTGGCAAATTGTAGCCCTTGGGCCAAATCTGGTCTGTTGCTTGTTTTGGTAATAAAGTTTTATTGGAACATGTTCATTCAGTTTTGTGTTGTCCGTGGCCCCATTTGTACTACAACGGTAGGGTTGAGTGTGACAAAATTGTACTTAGGGCTTAATTGCTTTACTAGGTGATCTTTAAAAACATAAAAGTGCCAACTCCTGTTCTAGATTATAAATTCTAGGATACAAGCTAAGTGGTGTCATTTTGTCTGCCTTTAGGCATTCTTAGAAACCATGGGAGAGGTTCTTCAACTGCCCAGTTGGATTGATGTGTCGGAGGTAAGACAAAAAACATTTGATCTTCAAAATGTACAATGTGTCTTCCTAGAAGTGGTGTAATTATGGCTCAATTCACATCCCTAAGAGAAATGATACATCTCTCAGTCCTGCAATCTGGGACATTAGAGCTCAGACCAGATATACAACTGATTTGAAGTGCCTTGTCTTCTGCATGGCTCAAGAGTTGTGTGAGTGTCAATAATGTGTCACTGTCCTCAACACCGAGCAGGGAGAGGGTTACTTGGTTGACCTTTGTTTATCATTTTTAATAGACACCTTTGCTTTATCATTTTTACCATTACATTTTTCTTAAATGGTAATAAAAACATGCTTTATATTTAAAGATCATTAGAGCAATGGAAATAAGTGGAACATGTGGCAATATGTACTTCATGATAAGTGTAAAAACCAAAAAAGCTTCTCTTTTTCTCTGAACTCCAGATAATTAGAAAAGAGAATGGAATATTTTTTTCTTTTTAAAAGTAACTTCATTGATTTTACTGTTTAATAAAACAAGTTAATAAGTTGTAGAGAAGGTAGAAACTGCAGATGATAAGAAATATATAAATGAACAGTCACCTGAAGTCCTACGGCAGACCATGACCCTGAGCATTGTTGCATACACCCTTCCGTCTAGCTTACATTTCACTCACGTGTGTGTATATTCCGCAAATACATTGGATGTGTGCTTCAATCTGGTTGTCCTTAACTATGTCTGGGCCGTTTCCAATGACAGTAGGTATATCAGTCAGGCTGGGCGAGGCTGTGCTGCAGTAACAAAGAGACCCCTGCCTCCCAGTGGCGTAGCACCATTGAAACTTTTCACTGATGCAAAGTCTGAAGTGGGCCTGAGGAGCCCTTTTGCAGTCTGGTGACCTGGGGTCCTGGCTCTGTCCATTTTCTGATGCCACGGTCTTGACATGGGCCCTGCAAGGTTGCCTAGCAGGATGGAGGACTCATAACCGCGTAGCAGGGCCACACCCACACTGGTGTAGTGTTAAAGTGCTCATTCTCCTGAATCCCTATAACGTTTAATAAATATTTGCCAGTTGGCAGCAGAAATGTTATTAATGGGATTGCTATAGGATTTGCATTTGATGAACTTTTTATTTGAACAGTTTCAAACAGAAGGTTGGATTTAACACTGGCAAAGGGAGGGCAAAAAAAGGATCCTGCATTTAAGATTGATATAATCTTACCTAGAAACCTTTTTTAAAAGGCACAGCCCTCCAGCGTTCACAACCTCCAGGGGACTCTGCACAGGGGGAAAACCCTGGGAAATGGCCAGTGGAGGACCTGAGTAGGCCTCTTTTCTCAGCAGCACTTTAAAGTGACTTTTTCTGAATGCCCTGCCATGAAATGTAAACAGTCCTGAAGCTGTTCAGACTTAGGCAGACTCGACTGTGCAGTGGAGGGAACGTATGACTCAGCCGATGCCCATCAGGCTGCAGGCCAGGAACCCAGGTCTCCGTGTGTCCCCCGTGCCTGGCCGATGGAAATCAGGCCATGTACATGAAAGAATGTCTAAACTTGGCTTCCCTGTTCTATTTCCAGCTCATTAGGTTCTCAGGGAGCATGTATCTGTGAGAGAAGGCTGAGGATGCTTAGCAGACAGATGGTTTTCAGAAAGAGAGGAGCACGATGGCAGACGGGAACAGCTACCACATACCTGGGGGGCCGAGAGGCCCTGTCCCTGGTAGATGTGTGTCTCACGATAAGGGACAGTCAGCCCAGTGTGGGCTGTCTGCAGAGATATGGGGTGGCTAGGAGGGACCCCTGCCTTCTTGGGGGCAGTGAGCATTGGGGTACTCTCTGCTTCGGGGCCACAGGATGAGTGAGGAGGACTCTGGCAGGAAAGGGATGCACCGGGAAGGTCACCCAGACAGGATCTAGGGAGCTGGCATCTCTAAAGCATCCCTCCCCTGCATGGATGGGGCCGCTCAGAGATTGGCTGAGGTTCTTAGTGAGTTCAGGGTGCAGGTCAGACCGGGTCTCTGGCACCTGGGTCTAAGCCCTGGAGCCGATGGCCTGGGTGACCCGGGCGTCTGTGCTGCGCGGGCTCGGCTGGGTGTTCGCCAGCAAGAGGGGTAGTGGCCTGGCGCCTACCCGTCTGGTCATCGAGAGGTCCGGCCTGGCCTGCAGTAGCCTCCGCAGATGCGGGGTGCTCTTCTCCTGGACGGGGCACCGGCGGAGCCAGTGCGAGCGGGACCCTGCACGCTTGGCGAGTGTGCCTCGGAGGGGGGGTTCGTGCCGGTTCTGTTTGCTCAGTTCCTTCACGTCGTGTCGTTTGCAGCACAACGCCGTCGTGCTGGGCTTGATAGAGACTGTCGACATTGTCATGGGCCACATCTCTTTCAACCTGCACGCCAGTGAGCCTCAGGTCACCATCATCGGCTCCTCCTCCATGGCAGGTAGGTGTCGGCCCAGGGCCAGACGCTGCGGCTGGTGCGGGCAGAGGCACGGGGGGTGCGGGCGGAGGCACGGGGGCCGCGGGTGGGACACCGGCCTCTGGGGTTGGTGCTGATGGCCCTGCAGCCTCCTGCACACGCTCACGTACGCACAGACACATCTGCATAAGTACACATCCACACTTGCACAGATGCACGCACAGTGCACACACACAGGAAAACAGGTGCACACATGTGCACGCAAACGCGCGTGCGCTGGTACACACACAGCGTGTAAACACATGGGCACAGGCGCATGCACAGCGTATACACGCACAAGGATAAGTCCACAGACAGCATTTACACATACGTGCAGGTGTGCATAGACATGCGCACAGACGTAGCACAACGCCTGTCAGCCCAGACAGACCTCGCTGCTTTTCTCAACTATGTCCCCCTTACACAAAATTACAGGAGGGTGAGTGAGGGTGGGAGGAGAGTGAGATCGGGGCGCGTGTGCTTAGGCATCATATGGACCCAAAGCTACGTTAGCATTTGGCGGTGACGTGGGGGCCACTGATCTTGTGTGACGGTCGTCTGTGCTTGGAACGGGAGTTTAAAAGGCACAGGTCCTTTGAGCGCCTGTGGAATAAAAGGTGCAGAATCAGGTTTCCAAGAGCCAGCTGCAGGCTTGGCCTACGTCTGCTTTTCCAAGATAATCCCAGCGGAGTCCCACACGCGCTGACTTCCTGGCTCTTCCGTCTGACAAGTCTTTGTCTAGGGAGCACTGCACCGCTCACAGCCCACCACTCACGCCCCACCACTCACGCTCCACAACTCACAGCCCACCACTCACACCCCACCGCTCACACCACACTGCTCACGCTGCACAACTCACACCCCACCACTCACACCCCACGACTCACACCCCACGACTCACACTCCACCGCTCACACCCCACCGCTCACACCGCACCACTCACACTCCACTGCTCACGCTGCACCGCTCATACCACACCGTTCACACTGCACTGCTCACACCAAAATGCTCCCACCGCAATGCTTGTACCACCCTGCTCACCTCCACCACAGTAGTCAATCTCTGGAATGGAAACCTAATTAGCCATGTAGGATAGTTGTAGTGGGCATTTGTTGGCCAAGATAGCTGTCTCCGTGCAATGACACATTTGCCTGATGGCTTGAAGGCCAGCGTTTCACGGGGTCCCCCAGAGTGCAGTGAGGAGCAGCCCTCCCCTCCGCATGGGGGGAGGGTCTCATTGCATAACTGAGTGCCATGGTGACTGAGGCCCGGAGAGAAGGAGGGGGTCACCTCAGGCCACGAGGCCCCCACAGCGTGTGGCCGGATGGACACGTTAGCCACATAGTCGAAATTACTTTCCCTGGACTCTTATTTTTTCAGGTCGTCATTTTCTAGAGGTAATTATACAACCCAGGGGAGCATGTTTCATTTACAAAAAGCAGAAGCAGATGGGGTTTTACAGCCCAGTTTCCTGCGCTGTGGAGCTTACTGACTGTGGCTTCCTGTCTTTGGCTTGTTCTCAGAGTTCTCTGTGGCCAAACTCCTACCCGAGACCATAAATTCCTCCCACTACCGCTTCCCAGCCCAGGGCCAGAGCTACATCAAGGTTCCCCACGAGGCTTTCCGCAGCCAAGGTGAGTGCAGCTGCGGGGCCCAGGGGCAGGGTGGCGGTGAGGGGCTCTGCCTGTCCTCATTCTTCCAGATGTTACCTGGCCAGGCACCGCCCTCAGACCTGCTCCGTCTTCCTGCAGGAAGGCGTGAGGGATGTCTGCGTGGTCACTGGCATCTGAGGGCTCGCTCCAGTGTGCGCGTTACCACGGACGCCCCACGTGCCAGTGGCCAACAGGACACGTCCACCCGGAGGATGCGAAGGGGGAGGTGGGGCCGGGACACCGCACCTCAAGCGGGGCCTTCTGCCTTCGCGGACTCTAGCGTTTCTGGCGAGTCCAGCTTCCCCCTGAGAGCTGCGGCATCCGTCTGTCTGTAGTTGACTCAGGGGAGGACCAGGGAGTCCTTGTCACAGTTGCATCCACAGCTGAAGGGTCACAAAGTTTCTGCTCAGACTCAGGGCAAATTCCAGCATGAAGGTCCCTCACTTTCTCCCCCCTCGCAGGAGCTGCCCCTTGGGGTTTGGGTGTGAGGGTCGGCGCCGTGCGTCGCTGGGCAAGTGGGTTCGGCTGGGGGCTTTGTCACTGGGAAGGTTGACAGGTGTCTGCGACCCTCTGCTTTTCCCCAGCCTGGACCACCATCGTGGGCCTTCTCTACCACACAATGCACAATTACTTGGACAACATCCAGCCAGCCAAGACCAAGTAAGTCCCTCAGGGTCACCCAGTATGGAGAGGGCAGGGGGTGGGTGTGTGCCTGTTTGTTGGGTGGCTGGCAGCTGTGACACCCCAACCTCCCCGCCATCACAGGCACACACAGTATTGCCTTGGAGGACACTGGGGGTTGGGTGGGCCCTGCGCAGGCAGGCTGAGAGTACAGCGGTTAGGCCACCATATCTGCCCTGCCTGGAATGACCTGTGTGACCATGGGCGAGTGACCCAACTGCCTGAGCCCCAGCCGCCACTTCTGTTGAGTGGGAGGACAGTGGCGCATGTCACTGATGGATATATCCATCAGTCAGGATATATTAGATACGTTGCCTTAGGCAGAAGGTGGGGAGACTGGGGGCTCATGAGGCTAAGGCGGCTTCGAGCATGGTTGGATCCAGGGACCCAGGGGATGCCTTACACCTGGTCTTTCCATGTCCTGTGTTCTGTGTTGGCTCACATCTAGGGAGGCCACTACCTAAGAGCACAGCTGGCTCCAGTAGTTCAGGGGGACCTTTGGGTTCCGAGGTCTCCAAAGGAGAAGAGCCTTTCCAGAACGTGTTCATGGAAACTCAGGAAGGGCTGTGATTGGCCCGTTTGGGTCATGTGCCCATCCTGGCTCCTCCAATCATTGTGGCCCAAGCATCTTGCTCTTTCATTGGCCAGGTCTGTTCACATGACCCTGTGGAAATCCAGGGTGGGCTGTGAGTGGGCCGTTTGGGTCCTGGGCCTATTTTGTCCCTTCCACTCACGGTAGTTGGAGCATCCTATACTCTCATTGGCTAGCTCTGTTCACATGACCCTGTGGAAACTCAGGGAGGACGTGATTGGCCCATTCGGGTCCTGGGCCTCCCCTGGCCGCCCCATTGTGGTGGCTGGAGCCCTCGGCTCTCTCGCTGGCAGTGTCTGCTCCTGTGGGGATGGGTCACCCCTCTCAGACCGCAGGGAGAGGCTGCCTCCTCCGGGGCGAGGGGAGAAGAGAGTCTATTCGTCCCCTTTCATGGGGTCCCCCTCACCCCAGCTTGGTGAGCCGCCACTTGGCTCCCTTGCGTCCCTCCTCACCCTGGAAGCTGTGGGTCCTCTCTGCCGCCCTGCGGGGTGGGCTGCTGATGCCGGCACTGCAGCCAGCGGTGTGAACCCCGGTAATGGGAAGCAGGCAGCTATTCAAACAGCCTCCGGGTAAGGGGGGGAGGCTGACGAAGACCTTGTACGAGCAAAGGTAGCTGAGCCCCGGCGTCCTGTGTTCCGGGACGCTCTTTTCCCACCGCCTGGATGGACATAGCGTTTGGGGAGGGGGTGGCCTGGGGGAGAAGACAGCCATGATTTTGCTCTGGATCTGGGTCCCTTCACTCTGGGAAAGCCTGCAGTTGGACGAGTTTCCTTATAACTAAGGAAAGGGGACCTGTCACTCTTTGTTTTTAAATGTTTACATGTTTATTTTTGAGAGAGAGAGACAAATAGTGGGAGGGAGGGGCAGAGAGTGGGGGAGACAGAATCTGAAGCAGGCTCCAGGCCCTGAGCCTTTGTCACAGAGCCTGACTCGGGGCTCATGCTCACCGACCAGAGGATCGTGACCTGAGTCAAAGTCAGATGCTCACCCCACTGAGCCCCCCAGGCATCTGGGACCTGCCACTCTGTGTGTGTGAGTTCCAGAAATCTTCAGGAGAGCCGTTAAAGGAAAGTTCCATCACTTTTCCTCAGAAAGATGCCCTCCCACCTGTTTGGGGGATATTTCTCCAAATCCAAGGTTGTGAATGAAAAATGGGCCCGCCCTTGGCCGCCCTTAGCTGCAGCTCTCCTAGCTGAATGTTCTGGCTGAAGGTGATTTGTCAGTGAAAAACAGGAACTGACACATTTATGGGGCCTGGCAGAGCCGTGGGGGCCAAGGGTTAGGGCGCTCAGGGAGAACCGGGTCTGTACCGCCATCTGCATCTTCCCTCTGCCTCCAACTAGGAAAGGAAAGAAAAGGTGGAACTGCTCTTTACGGACCCAGGCGTGTGTGCACATTTCAGGGGACGATTCACTGTGAGCAGGTAGAATCCTGGCTCCAGCTAGGTGCCAGCAAACTTTTCCTTAAAGGGCCAGCTGGTAAATATTTCTGCCTTTATGGGCCATACTGTACCCGTCACAACTACTCAGTCTGCCTTGGAACGTGGAAGCAGCCTCAGGCAACACGGAAAGCAGTGGGAGTGGCCCGGTGCCAATAAAGTTTTATTTATAGGCATGGGCAGCCGGCCAGGCCTGTGTTTGCACATCCCTGCTGGACGCTTGTTAGGCTAGCAGCGGCGGACAGGGGAAGAGACCGCGTTTGTCCTGCTTCGGGGGGCGAGGGTGGGGGGCCCAGGGCTCTGCTTGAAGCCCAGCAGGTGGGCATTCAGGCCGTCAGCCTCCTGCCGCCACTGTCTTCACTGCCCCCGCGGCCCACAGGGAGGGCTCTCGGAAGCCTCGGAACTCATGCTGCCACGGTCTGGACCCCCCGGGGTCAGCTCCTCTTGTCCCTGAGAGTCCTGGGCCCTGCGACTCGCACAGGCAGATGGCCCCCCCATGGCCCTCTACCTGTTAGCAGTAACACCCGCTGGCTGCTGGAACCTTCCGTCCCGCAAATGCGTGCTCACCTCCCAAAGTCCACACAGAAACATTTTGCAGCGATGACGACATATTTTTCAGGCGTGGGAACTTCAGCCTGGGTGAAGGTGGAGGGGCAGCACTTAGTGCAAAGGTGTTTTCTTAATGTCGACATCACCCTTGAAAACAGAGTCACTGAAATAGCTGCTCAAGCACAGCCCACACCCTGGGGTCTCTCCTGTGGCACCAGCGGGGGACGGAAGTCCCCAACAGCGTCGGAGGTGGCAGCACCGTGTCGGCGCCCGGCTCCTGGCCCTCTTCTGCGGGCGGGGCCCTTACCCGCCGCGTGAACTGGGCAGATGTCTGGCTGTCTCTGTGTTGTCCCCTCTGGAGTAGGGGTGGGGACAGTACGGATGTGCGAGGCCGCCATGAGCACTAAGTGAGTTAATTGTTTAAACAAAGCTCACGCTCTTAACGTGATCTGTAAGTGCTTGCTTTTACCACTTGATAAGAGGACTGGACACCCTCACCATGGTGACTGGAAGAGAAGTATCAAATTCCGCGCAGGGGTGGGAGGAGGGGAGTGGAACCAGCTGGTTGCTTGTCTCCGCAGCCCAGCACCCCCACCCCCTTAGTGTTATACAGTGGAGCCTTCGCACACGGGAGGTTTCTGGAGCCAGGAAAAGCACAGTGGGGTTGTGACATTCTTTCAGTCCCCCTTTGGGGCGGGGTGGAGTGGGCACCTGGGTTTAGTGCATGAAGGTGGGGTCAGGCTGGCACGGGGTCTCCATCCTCACAGCCAAGCCCTGGGCGGGTCACTGCAGGGGCTCCGGCAACCCAGGCGTCTCACCGTGCCCGGGTCCTGGGCGCACATAGTCGGTCCTTGCTATGCCACCTGGGCATGGAGGGTCCTTGGAGCATCACCTGCCCCCTCACGGCGAGGGCCACTCAGCTCTTCCCGAGGGCTGTGCTCTGCCAGGCAAGCAAGTGTGATGGCCATTTCCTTAGAGCGGGGCCGGGGGTCCGAGCTGGGCATGGGGTCTCCGTTCCCACTTCACAGGTGGAGACCTGGGCCCAGAGAGGGGTGGGACGTTAAGGCTGCCGGCGGGCGGAGGCAGAGCTGTGGCTCAGGTCTCTGGGTCCCCGTATCTCGCTGATGACTCACATGCTGCAGAAGCTTCTGGAGGCTGCAGCTTGCTTAAATGTCTGCACGCATCCTTCTTTGTAGAGTAATGCCAACCAGTCCAGGCAGGAGGAACGACAGGGTAGGAAAGACACCTTCCTAAGTGTAGTCACGGATCAGAGCAGAGTCGTCAGTGGGTGTTAACACCACCGAGTGAGGGGTAGTTGTGGAACGGGTTGTTCACTGTCACCCCAAGGGTCCTCGTTAGTTTACAGCATGAGCGGCTGGAGACCGCTGCCAGGTGCCACTCCAGCCAGCTCGTCACTTGACATCATCAACAGTGGGTGTGATATCCCGTGGCCCCCGTGGGACCCCATCGAGGGAGTCAGCGGGGCCCCGGAGTGATCCTGCCCCAAGGACGTGGCCTGAAGCCCCACGTGGGGAAACCGTCAGCAGATCTCAAGTAAGGGCAAACGATGGTTTGCGCTGCTGGACGTCCATGAAGAAAACCGTGGGGACCGTTCCAGAATTCAGGGGCCTGCAGAGAGTCTCCCTAGTGAGTGCACGGGCCTTGTCGGGCCGAGAGGCACAGGCGGGGACCAGGCATTGCATCGTGTTACTGAATCGGCGTTGGGTTTCCGGGTGCGGTGACCAGGCTGTGCTGCAGAGAGGGCTGAGTGTCCTCAGGGGAGAGGGGGGAGGAGTGTCAGGTGTGCTTCCTCATGGTTCAGCGAGAAGAAAGTTGTGCCTGTGTGCGTGTAGAGTGTAGCTTATCGGGTGGTGTGACCGTGACCCTGGCAGGGGGTCAGTGGATGGGGGTCTAGGAGGAGACTGAGTGTCCACCGCACCCTTTCTAGCAAATTTTCTGTAGGCTCGAGGGGGGAGGGGCTTGAGCTTAGTTATCAGGTCTGATTAGTCGAGGGAGGAAGAGGATTGTACACCCAGTGCGCTAGGTGTCAGGAAGACCGCTGTGTGGACGCAAGCACAGGCAGGTAGCAGAAGCTTCCGCCAGGCTCTGGAGAGCGGATGGCAGGCAGGCAAGGTCCTGACCAGACAGGAGAGCAGCAGGTGACTGGCCAGCCGTGTGGGAGTCCGGAGACTGCATGCCTCGGGTACTCCAGGGTGGCTTTCTAGAACTGAAATCCACGCAGCAGACGTTTGCTGACTCGGTGCAGCCGGGCTAGGACCATGGTGAGGCAGGCAGGCACCCGGGGCACAGACCTCAGAGAGGCGCTCGCTCGTGGAGGCACACACATGCCGCGTGTGTCAGGCCCTGGGTGCCAGCACCTCCTTAAATCCCGCGTCGCAGGATCCTTGCCTCCCCCGCCCCCGTCTTGGTGCTGAGTATCACTTTAACCTCAAAACTCCGTGAAGCAAGTCCCATATATATCAGGTAGGGTTCTTTCGATTGGGGTGTAAGTAACAGAAAAGCTGGCTTACAGTACGAGCGTAGTTCATTGGGTCATGTCAGCTGAAAGGTGCGTGGGCATATCGGCTTCAGGAGCAGCTTGATCCAGCGTCCGGTTGCTGTCATTCAGCTCAATCTCACTTCCTCCTTTGTTGGGGCCCCTTTCCCAGTTCATCTCTCCCCTCCCGACTGAGCCACTTCCAGGGCCGCCTCCTCCAGGGCTAACGTGTAGCTGAGAGAGGCCTCTGACCCAGCATTTTCCGTCTGAATCTTGTCACGTCTCCTCGGACTTTGTTGGGTCATGTGTCTACCTCTGCACAGTCACCGCGGCCCGAGGGAGGCAGCGCACCGAATAGTTCGGGCCTGGCCAGTGGGGCTCATTTCTGAGCCCAGGATGGGGTCAAGAGCAGAGAACATCTGCTGCAAGTGGGGCGGGGGGTGGTCACCAGGAGGAAGCGGGGGCCTTTGTCAGCAGAATGAATGCACCCTGGGCAGCAAGACCACAGGGCCCTCTTTTTATAAGCGAGGAGGTTAAAGTTCAGACAGGGTAAGTCACTTACCCAGGGGCACATAGCTCAGTGATGGGGTTGCCGAGATTCAAACCTGGAGTTGTGCTTTCTGTCCGTCATGCTTCCTGGGCCACGTCTTCTCACACCAGACTGTCAGCTCTGTGAGGTCCAGGGCCCCACGTCGCCCAAGGTGCCGGCCTCCAGCCTCGCAGAGTGAGTCCTAGTGACAGAATTCACACTGCGGAACAGTGGTGCTAGCTCGTAGGTCTCCTCAGCAGGTCCCAGCACCGAGTACAGGGCGAGAGCAATCAAGGTTCCACCCAAGAACGATTTCCATCTCGGGGCGCCTGGGTGGCTCAGTCGGTTAAGCGTCCAACTTCGGCTCAGGTCGTGATCTCACGGTTCGTGGATTTGAGCCCTGCATCGGGCTCTGTACTGACAGCTCAGAGCCTGGAGCTGCTTCAGATTCTGTGTCTCCTTCTCTCTCTGACCCTCCCCTGCTCACACTGTCTCTCTCTCTCTCTCTCTCAGAAATAAATAAAACATTAAAAAAAGAAGAAGAAAGATTCTCGTCTCAAGCACTTCAGCCCTGACGTTAGGTTCTGAGCCCAGGTTCTGGCTGTGTTCGCTCTCCCTTTTCCATTCTGTAATGGTTTTTCATTTACTTCCAAGGATTGCCGAGGCAGCAAATTACAAAACCCACCCGCTGTCTGCAGTCAGCTACCTGATTTCCCTGGAGGTGTCCCCACCACCGACGCTCTCCCAGAACTTGTCGGGGTCCCCCCTGGTCACCGTCCAGCTCAGGCACCAACTGGTGAGTGACAGTGGGTCCGCTCTCACTTCTGGTCTTTGGTCTTGCGTTGAGGAGACCGGCGGGCTGTGGGACGGTAGACAGGCTCTTCCGTGGCCCTGGCGCTGCCCACACGGGCGCCTTTCTCGCCCTCAGTGCCTCTCCTGAGGCTGTTGGTGGGAAGTCCCTCAGGTGGTCACGCAGTGTAGACTTTGGGTAACAAGGCCTTTGGGACCCCATGCAACTTTCATAGACACGTGTAGATGGATATTTCTGATTTATAGTAAACGTCCTTCTAGGGGCACCTGGGTGGCTCCGTCGGTTGAACATCCAACTTTGGCTCAGGTCATGATCTCACGGTTCGTGGGTTTGAGCCCCGCGTCGGGCTCTGTGCTGACAGCGTGGAGCCCACTTGGGATCTTCTGTCCCTCTCTCTCTGCACCTTTCCTGCTCATGCTCACTGACGCCCTCTCTCTCTCTCTCTCTCTCTCTCTCTCTCCCACTCTCTCTCAAATTAACGTTAAAACAAAAAGTCCTTCCTGGAGGAGGGATGCGGTGGCCAGCCCTCACGTGTCCTGGTGGCCATCAGCACTTGCTCCGTGGGAAACGTGCTTTGGAGCTGAGGGCGGGGCGGCCGTTTCTGCGTGGTTTTGCTGTGTTGTAACGGGGATTTTGTCTGCATTGGCTTCCCCGCTGTCAGTGGGTAGGAATGGCAGCTGCACCGGGACACACATGTGCTCTGTCCTTAAACAACACCAGCTCCTCTCGTGCCGTGCGTGATGTGTCCCGAGATTCTCTGTTGATTCAACACCCGGGCGGTGTGTTTTTTAAGGAATTTATTTAAGGACTCACCATACGTTTGCTCGTTTGCACTCGTGCAGAAGACATTTCCTTCCAGCGTTTTCTACACCATTCTGTTCCATCCCGTCCCATCCTGTTCCCCCAACCTTAACTGAGGGCCTATGTGTGCGGGCTGCTGTGTCCCAGGCCTCTCCCGTCCCACCCTCTGCACACACAGCCCTGACCTCAGAATGCCCCGCACCCGGCCTTTCTTTCTTTTTCAAACAATCACCAACCATTAAGAGAATTTTAAATTGTGGTGAAAGAGACATAACCTAAAACTTGCCGTCTTACGCATTTCCAAGTGCCCCGTCCAGTGGCATTCGCACGTGGACACTCTTGTGCCGCCGTCCCTCGCCCCTTCCCGAGCTAACGTTCCGTCCCCGTGGCCGTTGGCCCGCCCCCAGCCCCGGCGCCTGCCACCTGCAATCTGTGGCCGTGAACCTGACCCCTCTAGGGACCTCGCGGAAGTGGAGTCCTGTGCTGTCTGTCTCTCTGGGGACATTTCTGTCCATTTTTCTGTGCATTTCTGTCCATGCATTTCTGTGCATTTCTGCAACCCTACGTTTTGTTTCCTGGCCACCCACCGGTGGACACTGAAGGGCTCCCCTCCTGTCTGTGAGACGCTGTGCACGGGGGGGGGGGGTGCGGGTCCCTCCCCCAGACCCTGCTCTGGGTCCTGGGTGCGCCCAGGTGTCCTAGAGTGCCACCATGCCTCTGCGCGCTCTGTCCTCCCTTCCAGCCGCACGAGCTTCTCCAAGTGTCCAGAGATCTGCGGCTCACAGAGCCCAGGGCCCTTCCCGGCGTCCACTCTCTTTGGGGTGTGGACAGGGTTGGGCCCCCTTGACCCCTCACTGGCTTCCAGGACGTGTCACTGGAGGCCGCCCCTGTGCCTGGGGGCCCGTCCCCGCTGCGTTACCTCCTCTCGCTCCCTGCACGGTGTCCCTGCAACACAACCACGTGAGTGTTCGCCTGTCTGAATGTCTCCCATCCGCGCAGCCCCGGCCCTCCTGCCCCCCCTCCCCCGGACCAGGGCTGCCCCCCGTCCTGACCCCACACCACCCTCCTCACCAGCGAGTAGGCTGCGAGTGCTAAACCGAGTGACTGCACATTGTGAGAATGTGGCGCTTGCTGTGTGCGATTCCCCGGGGGAGCCCACCATCTGAGGGGCTCTGGCTCCCTGACCTCTGGCCTCACCCCTTCCAGGGAGCCCCCTCCTCCGCGATGCCGCCTGGTGCAAATTGTACTTCTGGAGAGCGGTTCATTCCAGGGTTTTCCCAAAGAGACTTTCCAACCAATGAGACGAAACCTGACACGTTTCCGGGGGTCAGCTGGCCCCGTGAGCACATGTTTCTACTCGGCAGTTTCTTCCGTGCTGCTTGGCGTCTGCTTATTTCTGGACACAAGGTCCCTTAAAAGGGATGGTCTTACTGTTTCCTTAGGACACCACCGTGGGTCAGTCCTGGTCCAAAACCCAGAAGGAAAACAGAGCCCGCTGAGACTGAGGAGCTTGGCTTTGCGTCCCGCACACCCATCATGGTTCTGGGTGGGCCTGCGGGGGGACTGGCTTGGGCAGATGAGGCAGCTCCGGTGGCCGGGCCGCTCTGCATCCTGTTCAGCATCGTGTGGCTCACCGAGCCTGGAACACGTGTGTGTGTCAGAGTCCCGCGTCCAGGTGCCACTGTGGTGGTTGCTTCCTTCCAGTAATCCAGGGTCCAACGCTGTGCTTTGGCCCACGCTGCTGTGCCCGTCCGCGGCTGCTGTGCCCATCCCCGATCCGCAGCTGCTGTGCCTATCCACGGCCTCCGTGCCCGTCCCTGATCCGCAGCTGCTGTGCCCGTCCGCGGCCACTGGCGGCCTCTGCTCCTCCGGGTGTCCCGTCTGACTCCAGGGAGCCTGCTGAGCTCACAGCTTGGACTGCTCAGCCGGGCGGCTGGTTAGAGGCTGTTGGGGGGGACAAGAGCGCCAGCAGACGCACCCGCCCTGAGATGTCCCCGAGGGTCCCGGCCTGAAGCGAGTGCCCCGCTCTTCTGCCTAAACCTGGGTCGGAGTTGGCGGTGTTCTGCTAATTAAAATCGCTCATGGCATCTGATCCGAACCGTAACTTGCGGCTCAGGCTTGGACCGTCCCGTTTCCCTGGTCAGTGAAGGTGAACCTTTGCTGACCTCGGAGGGAGGCAAGGCCAGCGAGACGTAGGTTCTTTAGACACCCTGAGAACGAGAAGCCAGGGGAGCATCTCAGACAGCAGGGTGCTGCCAGCTTTGAGTGCTGTTGTCTGGAATTCACTCATCAGACAGGCTTTCACTCCGACTATCAGAACCCAGGACAGGCCGTGGGTCAGGATTGTCCTGACGCTTGGAAGGGATGGAGTCAGATGGCGGGCCTGTGGTGTTCCAGCATCAGGACTCTGAGAACGGGTGCAAGGGGAGAGTCTGCCTCTCTGTGCACTCTGACCTCACCCCAGCTTAGCCTCGGGCACGGTGGGAGCACAGAGGGGCCCTGGCTCTCTGTGTCGCTCCGGCTCCCCATGGCAGCTGGTGAGGACAGCCAGGCAGGGTGCTCGGGGTGCTGAGACTCCCATCAGCGCCTGCCACCCGGGCCCGAAGGTCCCTGCGGAGCTGGCTCGGGGTCTGAGCAGCGCGGGGTCCAGGTGGCTGAGAAAGGTGTCCATCAGGAAGCCGGTGTGGGGCCACGAGGGCGTGTTAGTCCCCAAGACATTCACGCACTCACACCTTCACTCATTCATTTGTTCTGCAGACTCTGGCTCCCTGATGTCGACCAGGCCACCGGTCTCTCTGCGCCTCTGTTTTGTCATGTGTCGTAATCATGCAGGGGTGACTGACCCACAGGCGGGGCCGTGTAACTCTTCCTGTCTGTCTGGGTCTCATGTGCAGAAACGGGGGCCAGCCCTGGCTGACTTTAGCCAGCAGAGGTTTCCAGAAGGACACCTGGTAGCGCCCAGGAGTGGGGCTGGGAGCTCAGCCCGGGGACCCTGCGCTGCTTCTGTCACCCCAGCCCCTGAGGTGAGCGGGCACCACCCTACGTTCTGCACCCGTGGCCCCGACCCAAATGCAAAGCCACGAGGGAGAGAGGCTGTCAGTGGCCCTGGGGGGTCATGTGCCTGCCCTGGGCCTGACGGTGGCAGGGACGGGTGTCGTCCCCCCAGGAGCACATGCATGGTGGTGTCAGGCCAGTGGCGGTGGGTAGGTGGGCAGGGGGACCGCACGCCAGCGCTGGTTTGACCCCTGCCCTGCCCCGATGTCAAGCGCAGCTCTGCAGGGGAGGGCCACACATCCAGAAGCACGGCCGTGCTGGTGCCGAATGAACGAACCCTTCACAGTTTCCTTAAAAAAAAGAAAAGGAGGAGAGACTTACTGGTGCCCGGGTGAGGAGCGCTGCCCGGGCACACAGGCTGCACGGAGAGGAGAGCGCCCCGGGCACGGCATGTGCAGCACGGGGCCATGTGTACTTCCTGTTGCACCGGGAGTGACAAGTCGTCGTGACCAAGGACGTTCCCAAAAGTTACAGCCTTTACCTCGGGCTTTAGTGTGGGTGAGGCTGTAGCCTTCGGAGGGGCCGGATCTTACAGAGGTGTCTACTCTTCGGGGTGAAATGCTTCCTGTAGGTTATTTGCTTGGGAAGCAGACGTGCAGGGCATGCTCGGCGCAGAGGCTGAGCCCGGGCTCTGGAGCCGGAAGTCCCGACCACGGTCAAGTCAGTGCTTCCCTGGGCACCCAGTGTGCACGTCTGGGGGCTTTCACCCCGGCATCCAGACCCGTCTGAGCCTCAGAGACCCGGGCTGGTGGACGAAGGCAGCTTCCTGGGTGCGGGGCCGTGGCCATGGTCCTGTGGTTCCTCAGGGCATCGCCACAACTTGTGATTTCATGAAAAGAAGCCATAAATCTGGATTTTTAAAAAAAAATGTTTTATTTATTTTTAGGAGAGAGAGAGACAGCATGAGCAGGGGAGGGTCAGAGAGAGAGGGAGTCACAGACGAAACAGGCTCTAGGCTCTGAGCTGGCAGTCAGCACAGAGCCCAACGCGGGGCTCGAACCCACGAACCGCGAGATCATGACCTAAGCGAAAGTCGGACGCTTAACCAACTAAGCCACCCAGGCGCCCCTAAATCTCGTTTTTAAATTATATCTCTGCCTTTGTACTGATGGCACTTAATTCAGATTTGC